AGCCTGCCTTCTATTAGATGAATCTTGGCAGTAGCATTTACTATATTTTTGATCATATCTCGTAGAGATACTCGGGAAAGAGGCACTTTGAGAAGACTTCAGAACGTAGCTATTACGATGGGGTAATGTGTTCAGAGTGAAGGGGAGTATTTTGAGGGTTAATGACAAAAATTACTGTAATAATGTTTTAAAATGTAAACATTCATTGTATATTTTGATCAGTCCTCCTATATTTATCCTTTGACTGCCAATTCTGATTTCAAGAACTTATCCTTGGGCCGAAGATTTAGCTCAGTGGTTCTACCACCTGCTTTGCAAGCACAAGGTCCCACATTCAATCCCTGGTACCAAAAAAACTTATCCCATATGACACATCCTTGGCACACAAAGATTTAGCTATTTGAGCAGTTCAAGTTTATGTTTAGAAGAAAAAGTTGAAAGAATTGAAATGACTAACAGTAAGTGATAAAAGCTATAAAAGTAAAAGTAAGCACATTTGCATTTATACCTGTATCACTAGTTTAATGTCTGTACTCATAAAAATCAGAACGATAGCTGGGCATTGTGGGACATGCCTGTAGTCTTGGGTACTCGGGAGGCTGAGGCAGGAGGATCCCAAATACATGTCCACATTGATTACTGCTCATTTTTTCCTTTGAGAGGTTGTAGGTATGTTTTGTCCTTTGTGTTTTTCCATTCCTTCCCTAGTTTTTGACACTGATCAGGGACTATTTTTGTATTCAAGAAAAAAAGTCAGGGTTTTTTGTTTATTTGTTTGTTTACTTGAAAAAATATGGAAAGTATAAAAAAGAAACCAGTAATCGTATTCTCACCAACCAGAATTAACCACTGCTAACATTTGGCCTATTTGCCTCAGTTGTTTTTCTTCCTGCAAATTTTAAAAATACAATTAGCACCACCAAAGCATGAATTCTACATGTACCAACTCCCCACAATGAATATAGTCATTATGTGCTGCCAACATGTACTAATAAATTTTGGGCGTTTTGATTTTTGGTTGGTTGGTTGTTTTTTTTTGAGACAGTCTTACTGTGTAGTTCAGGCTGGCCTCAAACTCGAGGTGATCTTTCTGCCTCAGCCTCCTGAGTGCTGAGATTATAGGTACAGACCACCACACCTGGCATAAATTTTTTTTTAATTAGAAAAACATTAATCTTGGTCAACTTTTAGATAAGAGGTTATGACTGGATTTTTTCTTGTTTTCCTTTCAGCTGTCCTTTTCCCTATTTCTCAAGTTTAATGACCATACGTCACTTTTTAAAGGGATAAACTATAAAAGATAGGATATTTTTAAATGCCAAATAAGTCTTAGACACTCACAGGAAAGTAAGCAAGACTTTAGAGTTGAGAACAACTTGGAGTAAACCAGGAGGGGAAAGACATCCCATTTGGGTGGTGCGACCATGTCCCCATTTTCCTACATGTACCAACTCCCTGAAGTTGCCTCAAAAATGTCTTAGTTGGGGACAGGAAATTGTAAGGAGTTTAGATTCAGGGATTAACAAACAGCTGTGCAGCTGGATTGGGGTAGTTTTATTGAGTGAATGGGAAAGAAGACTGAAAGGAAAGTTGAGACCATTAGAAGCACCTTGAAAGCGAATGTAAGCTCCTCCACCAGATCTGGGGCTGGCTACAAATGGAGCATCTTGTAGTTAAAGTAAGGAAATGCTAAACAGTACACACATACTGACTTAGGTATGTCAGCAGGACACAGAAGCCAGCTGAAAAAGCTGCCAATGGCCAAAACCACAACAGTTTTAATATCAAAATAAAGTAGCATTGATTTATAACCCAAAGTAAAAGATACATATCCATGAGCCCATAATGATAGAAACAACTGATTTTAAATAAGGCCTGGCTACATGGTGGCTTTCGCTCAAAAAGTACAGTAGGGAAAGGGGAGTGGGGAGTAGCTTTTCAGCGGAGAACCTGGCAGACAAGACAGCCTTGTCCTGACGGTCAAGGTCCCCACCCACATGGCCACGGCGTGTGCCTTTGATGCACTGTGAGTGTGGCTCCCGAGCTCTGTGCTCTTCCTTCCCAAGCCCATAACCCCTTCTGAGTAGTCAGAAGAAGGGGAGCAGATCCCAGGGCGGGTCTGTAAAATGTGTGCCCAGCACTCCCTAAGACTATCAGTGCCTCCTGCTAAGGCGGGAGGATTGAAAGTTCAAGCCCTATCTGGGGTGACGTAGTGAGACACTTTAATGTTAAAAAAAAGTGTCGGGGAGGGGGTGCAAGGATGTAGCTCATTGCGAAGGTCCTGGGAGAGAGAGAGAGTATTTTCTTTAAAAGGATGTAATAGTAAATAGATACACAGCTTTTAAGCTGGTGAGTTGAAAAATCAGAACAGAATAATCAAGTTAGAGCTGGGCATGGTGGTGCATGCCCGTAATCCCAGCAGCACTCAGGAGGCTGAGGTAGGCAGATCGCTGTGAGTTCAAGACCAGCCTGGGCTACATAGTGAGTTCCAGATCAGTTTCAACTACATAGTGAGACCCTGTCTCAAAAACAAAACAATAATCAAGTTATATCTGATGATCAGAAGCTGCTGTGGAAATCCACAAACTTGTTCCATGTTCATAGTATACATAGCCTCTTTGTGCCAAAGCACCCAGTTCTCCTCCATGGTGGTCTCTTTGATTTCCAGTCTCTTGAAGAACTCTGAGCCTCTTCTGTTCCCGTAGTACTTTAAGATTAGGCATTTTGATCAAATGCGTATTAAAAAAAATCTATGTGAAAGAGAAGTTATTGTAATCCAGCATGGACACTAAAAGTGTACTTTGGTTTAGTATAATTGTCATATGTTAATCTATATATTTGATAATTAACTTTATAAGGACTTATAAAATAAATGAATCTGATGTTGGCAAAAAATTTTTTAAAGTGGAAGGGAAAGTAAAAAAAAGAATTAACAATGTGTTATTTACGTGCCAGTTCCCCACAGTGAATGTAATCATTACATGCTGCAAACATGAGCTAATAAAAATTGTAAAATAAATAAATAAAAATCCATGTGAGAAAAGCATTGACCCTTGAACAGCAGAGCGAAAGTTGCGCCAGAGTCAGGGGCCTGGGTGGCTTATTCCTGGTTCTTATGGCCCTGGGCAAGTTGTTGAACCTCTCCTGATCTGCTTGTCTCTAAAATGAGAGGGTTGAACTGGAAAAAATTTTTCTATGGTGACTTGCAGTTCTAAAAATACTGTGATTCTAAATTAAGATTTCAGAGAGGAGCTGCGGCACTAGAAGTAATGGCAACTAAGTTTGAGTCTAGATTCCCAGTGTGTGTAGTAGCAGACCTCCCTGAGGATCCTTTAGGATTCGGGGTCCACTCCCCAAATTCTTGGTATGTGATTCCACTCAGATAAATGGAAGGGACCATCTGTTACAACTCCTTTGTTTCATAGTTGAAGAAACTAGGCTCCAGAGAGATGTGATTTCCTCAAATCACAAAACTAGTAGGACAGACTAGGCTCTCCGCTTCCGGATGAGAGGTTTTTACAGTGCAGCATGCTTCCCGCGGAACCTGAACAATCTTCCAGCAGTGCCACTCGGACCTCGTTTGCGCTGTCCCAGTGGTCCTCAAGGGCAGTTGTTCTCCACCCGTCAGCTCCAGCCTCTGATTATGGGGAAAGTAATTGGGGACTTGGAACAAAAACTCGCCTCTCCTTGAACCTTTACTCTTTGGTCTGAGAAAGAGAAATGCAAATTTCATTTTTTTTTTCCTCCCCGTTCAGTTCTGTAGCTCACCTTTCCTCCCATGGTAATTAAATAACCCTAGATGATTTGTTTACAGAAGCCACGTGAATCAGCCAGCCCCCAAAGGGTTAATGCTCCCAAATTATGGGGCTGGGTTAACAATAAACAGGATGTCTTCCAGAAATTAAATTTAAACCACTGTGACTCAGGTTGGCCCATCCCTCAACCAGCTTGTCTGGGGTTATTATCGGTAGTTAATTATACCATTGGGTTTAGCAGTGGTGTTGGTCAGTTTGGGCCAAATGGAATCAGGCTGGGGGAGAAGGGGTGTGAAGGGAAGGATGGGAGGGGGGTCCACTTCCTAGGGAGGGCAGGGCAGGACAGGGCAGTGGAGAGGGGGGCACTATTTCTATAACTACCGGGATGCACTGGCCACAGGATGCACTGTTCTCAGGGTGGTAGAAACAGAGTTTTCACTGCCTAGAGGAAGTGCCTAAATTACCTGGTTTACTCCACTTATTTTCTAGAGCAAGAAAGTGCAGTCCGGTGCAGCAGTTAGCTGCCAGAGGTCAGCCTGCCCTGGGAGATGGAGGCTGGGCTGCTGCTCAGCTTCTGAGCATCAGACCCGTGATCTTCTTTCTGTGGAGCCAGTCTCCTTCCTGGGTGCAGTGGAGAGTCTGAGCTCCCTAGCGAGCTCCCAGCAGACTCAGGCTGAGTGGCAGCTTCCTTTCCACATTAGCCGCATTTCCATCTTGTCAGCTTTCCCTAGGAAATGACCCAGCCTAGCCAGTCATTAATGCCCCTGAAAATTGTCATCCCTCCCTTCCTCCTTAGACTCCCTGCAGACCCACTGTGTCCGCCTGCAGCGAGGCACTGAAGCACCTGGTGTAGACATTGTGTGATTTTTGTTGGGGACTTTAAGGGCATGTCTCCAAGAATGGTAGCTATTCTAGGGAGCCTGCAATTTCTCCTTGCAGTTCGACAGGATACAGGGTTTATGGTAGTTGTTATTCAGGGGTCTCTCCCACTGTCCTCACTTTTTCAACGAACCGCACACCATTCATGGAAACATTCTCTGGGATAGGAGATGCCTAGCAGCCTGCGTGGAATACTGCTCTATGGGAGGTGCCAGTGGTCCTGTGTACAGGGCTTGGGTACGAAAGCCAAGTAGCCAGCCCTTTCAGGCCTCATCTCCAGGGATAGGCAGGCCCCTGCTGCATTTCTTTTCTCATCCACTCCCTTCCCCTTTCCTCACAGTATCCCTTTTGGTCTCTTTCTCATAGGATTCCTTTTAAGATTGGGCAGCCCAAGAAACAGATTGTTCCCAAAACAGTGAGTAACCCGATTCTTTCACTCTGAGACTCACTTCTGCCTCACATGGCATCTTTGTAGCAGCAGAGCTTTGACTCAGCACCTCTTAAGGGCTGGGAAAACAGCAACCTGGGCCTTGTTCCCAGGCATGTAGATCTAGAACCTCTCAAAGACAGGACTTGTTGGGGCCTCCTGTCCTGGGGTGTTTCAGGCTTTTGCCCAACTTTGGGTGGGTAGAAGAGGTGGTTTACAGGGTCCTGCATCTGAGCAGTCCTTTTCCTAAGAGGACTCCTGGACCATGGAACCCTACCAGAAGCATGGCCCATGCCATCATTTCCGTTCACCTGAGCTACATGAAAGACCGGGCAACTTCTTCAGGTGACCCAGGTCCCTCCATCTGCACCACTAGAAGTGTTCTCTCCCATGATCCAGCACAGAATGACTGGCTGCTGTCCCTTGTAGAGCCCTAGCATTTAGCCGTAGTTTATCTTCAGAATGGAAGAGGGAGAGAGTCACAGAACCGAGAAGGTTAGAGCTAGAAGCCCTCAGAGCTCATCTAGCTCAACCTCCTGATTTTTCTGGAGTAAAATAAAGCCTTTAGGGTGGTTGTGACTTTGTAAAGTTTGAAATCCCCCTGTTTGCAGAACTTGGAATAGGACGCAGGTCTGAGCACAGTTTGCCTTGCTTCAGGCTGCCCCTGGCTGTGAAGATTTCCAGAATTTGGGATTTCTAGTACAGAATTGTCTCCTCAGCCCTTCACCCACAAATGTGAGTGCAGCCCTTGCTCGTAACATGAGCATCCATAACTATAGCAGCTCTCTCTGTGATGGCTTCAAAAAGTTGAGGCTCTTGTCTTTGTCATCCAAGCCTGACATACTTCCTTGTGCTACTAACTTTTCTTCAGCTCAGCTCTCAGAACTCCAGGAAAGATACTGCTTTGGTTTGGCAGGAAGTTTAGCACATACCTGACCAGTGCCTCCATCTTTGGTAAATCCAGAGTGAGGTCACTTGAAAGGAACTGGGCACAAGTTAAAAGAGTCCTCCACTGCTTCACACAAAGGCAAGTCGCCTCCAGCAGGGCTGACCATCTGTGGAAACTCTCAGCTGAAGCCCAGAGAATCTGGGTGTGCAAATGCCGGGCGCCAGCCGGCTACAGGAAGTGAGAAGGTGGGGCTTTGAGCCTCTAGAGTTTAATCCGTGGCAGATCCAAAAAGGAAGTGGTTTCAGAAGAGTTTTATTCCCATCATTCTCTACCAAAAACAGACAAAAAATCCTTCCAAGACCCGGTCTTCATCAAAATGGCCTTCATTTTCCACAGAAAAATATAGTGTTCCTTAGCCTCGCTGAGCCTTAGCTTTCTCGTGTATAAAATGGTGGTGATAGTATCCATGTTATGGATATCGCACGAGTCTCACATGAGGCATAACAAGCATATAAGGCGCTTAGCCCAGTGTCTGGCCCACAGGAAGCCCTCAGTGATGCCCACTGCATTACAGGAAACCAGTTGATCAAGGATTCAACTCAACCTGTCCACACAGCTCTGTTCCCAGTGCAGTGGAATCAGAGTCTGGGCCTCTGATCTCCCTCAAGGAACCAGAGCCAAGTCACAGCCTGGGCTAGAGTTGTTGCTTGCTCGGCCTATTCTCCTGCGCTCCTCAAGGTGCTGAGGTCCACGTAACAAGACCCTGCCTCGTGGATCACATGCTCCCCACCCCTGTGACCCCCAGAGGAGGCCCGGGCTGTGCAGTTGTCGGTATCTCCGGCAGCTGCCCTCGGCTGGTGGTGACGCACTCCAGTGTTCTTGTAGGTGCTGGGGGGGCCGGGGGGGACAGATGTGGCTGCCCGGGTTACTAGAAGTCATGGCACCCCTGTCATGGGAAGAAATGCTCATGTTATCTTCAGGGAGTTTCAGGAGGTTTTTGGCTCAAGGCATCCAACTGTCAGCCACAAAGAAAGCATTGTGTCTTTGCGCTCACTGCTCTCCTGTGCCCAGGTTATTACCGTACACTCTGCCGTTGTTGAGGCTTTGGCGGGAATGGCATGTTCTCTGTGGGCGAGACACAGGAACAGAGCCCCTGCCTCCTGGTCCTTGCCTTCTGCTTGGACCCAGGTCCCATAAAGTGGCCGGAGCATGGTGTGGAGGAAGTAGCCGTGCCCACCCACCTAAGCCTCGAGGGGGAAGAGCTCTTTAAATCTTTGCTTGTCATGACCCTCTGAGGCAAGGCCTGAGGAAAGCACAGCCAAGTTTCCTTGCTGGGTGGGCGCCCTGTGAAGTCCCCTGGAGGACGAGTGACCATGCTGAGCCTCTGGAGGGGAGAAAGGTTTCACATGCTTAGCAGAGGGACCCTCTGCCTCCCTAATCCTGTTGGAGCAGACTGAAAGAAAGACACAAAAACTAAGCATTTCTTGGCCAGAGTCAAGCTCCCCAGAGACGCAGAGCACTGGCCAAGCCCCTGTGCCTGCGCCGTTCGCTCCGTCACCTCTGCTGCAATGCCCTTGTAAAGGGGCTCAGAACATGCCTCCTGCCTGGGCTCTAATGTGCACCTTTCCCTGGCATTAGAGCCCTGGCCCTGCCTGTGGCCTCCTTTTTCACTTCACCACAAGGGGGGCACTCAGCCTGTTCGTTCATTGAACGGTGCCACTTCGTGCTATGGCCCTTCCCTCCCGCCCTGAGCTGGGAGAATGCAGGGAGTGGCTGAGGGCTGCAGTCTGCAGCTTGGTCCTCCTTGGGCCAACCTGGCTCGCCTGGCCCACCCCGGCCTGGTCCCCTGACGGTCTGTGCACATATGTTTGTACTTGCATTGTTGACTGGGCTCCAGCTGCCTTTTTGGCAAAGGCATCAAGCATTCAAAGATCTTCAGATCTTTTCCACTTGGCTCCTTCCCTCAGAAGCCATACGCCTCGGAATGCGACTCCCATGTGTCCCTTTATTCCCTTCACCGTATTCTGAGGGGCTGGAATTCTGTCGCTGTCCCCAGGTCTTTTCCCTGTGCAGAGATCCAGGACGAGTAAGCTCTGGGAAGCAGGGGAGCAACATGCTGTCAGGCAGCAGCAGTGCAAGCAGCCCCAAGTGAAGGGTCCCCCCTCCCCCCTTCAGCGGAAGCCTTGCTCCTCATCGCCCAGGTGAACCCCCCAGCTGGAACCCTGAAGTCCCATGCTGTGCAAGTCCAAGCAGTGCCCAGCCAGGGAGACCAGGTGTTCTCTGGCATCCCCCACACATGAGCATGCTAAGGGCATTGCACAAGAGGCAGCCGTGAGCCAGAGGCAGCACAGTGACTCGGCAGGCACTCTGGGTCTCAGAGAGCTTGACTCTGGCCAAGAAATGCTTAGTTTTTATTTCATCCTTTCTCAGTAGATAAAGACCCCTCCCTGAGGTGGGAACGGAGCTGCAGCATTGTCATGGTGCCCAGCACAAGACTCTGTGCTTAGCCACCCATCAGTGTCTTCCTGCTCTGTGCCTTGGGCACTTCTGTCTCTGCTGAAGGTCAGCGCCCCTGTCTATGTCCCCAGGCTGCTCAGTACACTCTGCAGCGGGCCAGCCACCACCTCTGTGCTCTCCATGTATCACCTGTTTAAGTCTAAAACACCTCTGAGGCTGAAAGTATAGTCTCTGTTTCCTTGTAAGTCGCCTGAAGCTTCTAGAGAGAATGACTTAAGTGAAATTACCCCACTTTACCAGAAAAGTAAGGCTGAGGAAAGTGAGGACATGCTTTTCAGGCTCCACAGCTAGTGTCAGAATTCATACATCCTGTCTCTGCCCATTCAGAGGAATCCTTTGAAAACTGCCCTCCTCCATGGCCTCACTGGAAAAAGCTCTACTAGAATAACACCCAAAGGCAGGCCTCGAAGGGCCCAGAAGGCCCCCTGTGCTCCAAGACAGATCTCCCACCTGCAGGCATGTACGTAACTTTCAGATCTGCTCCAGCCCAGCCAGGCAGGGAGGAACCAGGATGAAACTGAGGCTGAAAAGAACAGGTGACCTGCTGGGGTCCCCCGCTAGTATGCAGCAAAGCCAGCCCTGAACCCCAAGCCACCTCCTCTTCTACATCCTGCTGCCTCCCAGGCTGGGTTTCAGTCCCACTCAGAGCACCCTGACTGTCACCAGAGTTGGGGTGAGGAGAAAGCACCCGGCCTGGCACCTGACTCCCTGTGGTGGCAGAGCAGAGCCACAATCTGCTGTGACTTGCCCAGCACCCCCCACCAGGGGGGACTTCTCCCCAAATCAAACACTTCATTAATTTGGGAACACAGGGATACTGTGTCCTAACGATCTACCGGAGGCTCCCTGCAGGCTGTGGGGAGGGTGTAGACAGAATTTCCGCAGGCCGGGAGAGTTTTTCCACCCTGTTGTCATTTCTCTGTTGATGGAGTTATCTCTCTCTCTCTTGTTACAGGTGGAGAGAGACTTTGAAAGGGAGTATGGAAAACTCCAGCAGTGAGTGTCAAACCCCAGAGGATGAGGTGGGAGTCAGGGAATCGAGCACGAGCCCCTGCCTCCTGCCAGCCCTTGTGTCTGCCTGGCCCGGCTAGCACAGCACCCGGGAGCCAGAGCAGCTCAGGTCACCTGTCTGCCAGTTCTGCCCCATACACAGCTGTGAGAGGAGCTTAACTTTGGGCACTTGGCCTCCTGCAAGCAGTGGGAAGTATCCCCTGCAGGTGGGCGTAGCAGCTACCCTATAGCGGTAGTGGGGAGGAGGGGTGAGGGCAGTAGGGTTGGTGCCCAGGGCTGTCCCTGCTTTGTAGGCTGGAAGAGCAGACCAAGCGGCTGCAGAAGGACATGAAGAAGAGTACAGATGCCGACCTAGGTAGGTGTCTGTGCCTTGTGCCTGCATGGTGTATGGGGACAAGGTGCCCTGTGCAGTAAGCACACTCTGAGTGGTAACCCTGGGAAGTGGCCCAGGACCCTCACCAGACCAGTCACCACTTCCCCAGAGTGCCTGCACCATGGCCAGCAAAAGCTTCAGTTTGCAGGTGTCCCTTACCCCATCCTCAGCCTCAGGGCCACAGGCCCTGGGCTGGCAAAAGAGAAAAGGCACAGATTCCTTCTCACAGAAACAAGAGTCCTGGCTTTCCAGGGGTGGCAGGAGCAGAGCTGCTGTGATTCTAAGCAAGAGCTTGGGCGAGCGTGTAAGTCCAAGAATCCCACAGGATAATTTTGTCCTCTCAAAGGGCACCGAAAGGCCTGCTGAGGCCAGGGCTTTAGCTCAGTGATTTCTGCCACCTGCCTTGTAAGTTCAAGGTCCCGAGTTCGATTTCCAGTACCAAAAATAAATAAATAACAGATCTAACATTGGAGATTTCTTAAAACACTAAAACTCCAGAAGCTGGAAGGTAGCTAGGTAAGTAGGTAAGTAAAAAGATCACTGACCATGAAAGGCTTGCTGAGTAGGGCCAGCAAGTACCAGGACACAGCCCAGGCTTTGAGGTCTTATTTGCAACAAGGAGGGAGGAGGCCCAGGAGGCCAGAGATAAAGGCAGCACTGAACCCAGGGTGTGTCAAAAGATCGTGTTCAAGGCCACAGCCCAGGGAGCTGTGCAAGCAGCTGGAGTCATAGAAGTCTGTCCCTTGCTGTCCCTGTCCCAGCTCGCAGTACTCGCCAGCAGCCAGTCCCTGACCCTGACACGGCTCGTAATCCCAGACTCCCCTGAATTCACTGTGCCTCATTTCCCTCATCCGGGAAATCCAGGTGGCACTGATCCTTATCTCTCTGGCTAGCTGTGTCCGTGAAGTATGTCGCAGGCTAATAGTCCCCAAAGTGGTGCCAGCACATCACTGCCCCTCAGTGACAGTTTGCACTGTCAGTGGCAGGAGCAACCAAGCCCCTGGCTGGGTGGACCTCAGTGGCTTCTTCCTGGGAATCCAGGGGGAAGGATACATCTGCGTGCCAGCAGAGCAGGCCGAGAGGCTAGGGTCTGGCCAGGGTTCTGCTTCTGCAGATGGAGAAGTGACACGTGGCAGACAGGCATTTCGGGGCTGGGGACCCAATAGTGACGCTGACGGAGCTGCCCTCCTGGGAGGGAAGATGTGAGGGTCAGCACAGGCAGTGCTATGATGCCATGCGACGGTGGGTGCTGTGAAGAACAAGGGCAGGGAGCCCGACGGTGCTGAAGGGGCAAGGGAGTGACCCGGAGCCTGTGTGTCTGAGGCTTCAGGCTGCTCTGACCATGGAGTGTACCTCACTCCTGGTCGTCTTCTCCAGATTGGCCGCACTGAGCCAAGGGTTGGATTCTGGTGTTTGCTGCTTTGTGTTTCGGGTCCGCATTGGGTTGGGGCTACGTTACTTTGGTGCCACTTGTCCACGGACTTCTTCAGTGGAGCTGCTATGGCCTGCTGCTTCCTCCCTGTGCCCTCAGACCGCTGCACTGCAGTGTGAATGGAGGGAAGGCTTCTTGCTTCATAGTGAGTCACCCTGGAACTAAGTAGAGTGTCTGGGATCCTGAGGAAGCCTAGCTTTCAGCAGAGAAATAGAATCGGGTGGCAGCTCCTGGAACCTAAGTCCATGACCCCAGGTGACGAGCTGTCCTTCAGAGCAGCCTCTGTGCCAAGCTCACTGCCTCAGCTGACCGGTGGCTCAGAACACTGGGCCTGCCCCCAGCTTGCTTACATATCAGGTATGGGCATGGAAATGTGTCCTGCCACACTCCAGTGACACCAGGGCAGTGGGGCCAGGCACACGCTAAGAGAGCTGCTGGCCCTGACAGTTGGAGGGAGTCACATTGTTATTCCTTTTCTGACCTCGAGATCTCCTGAGCTCCCAGTCAGGATGTGAAATCCCCAGGCTTTGTCTGAAAAAGATGATTTTTCTTTCAGAAAAGTGCATATGACTTTCAAAGTGGTCAGGCTTTGGATACCAAGGGAGCCCCAAGACCCTTGTTTTCTCTGAGTTTCTCAAAGCTCCCTAGCCTAGACAGCGTACTGATGCACGCTTATAATCCCAGCACTCAGAGGGTTGAGGCAGCATGATCACCTCCAGCGAGGTCGGTCTGGGCTACATAGTGAATTCAGGGCCAACCCTGAAGTACAGAACAAGACCTTGTCTCAAAAACAAAACAAAACGAAGCTCACCAGCATTGCAGACTGTGTGAGGCCCTTGACCCTCCCAGGCCCTGCAGAGGCAGAAGCGCCAAGCTGACCCCCAAGGGCTGCCAGACCCACTTCTGTCCACTGCCAGTGGCCCAGGAGATGCAATTCACTGACTTCATTCACTTCAGCAAAACCAGCAGCCTGATGTGAAAGTGCTAGAAAAGAGAAGGAAACGTAGGAAAAGTCTCCCCCAAATTTTAGGGATTTCCCCCCAAATAAAAAAAATAGAAGGCATTCAAAATTTTTCCAGGTTTTTATTATCTCAAGTATGCCATATGTGATCATTTCATAATCAGATCAAATCATGCATAATGTTCCTAAACCTACAAAGTCACTTCAGAGTTTCTTCCTCTGTTGCGTCAGTGTTTCTGGAGTTTGCATTTCTCGCTTTCTCCGGCACACGCCCCTTTTGCAGTGCCCGCAGCACTCTCACTGGGGCTCCTCTTCTCCTGACTCAGTGGGAAGGCAGGGCTGGGCTTGGGGCTTCCAGCTCCTCACACAGGGCAGGAGGGTCACATTGCGATCGGCTGTAAGCTGGGCCTTAATCAGTTCTGAGACATTTTTTCCCATTTAATATATCCGAACTCAAAGCACCATAACACTAGATAGTGTGTCCTGCTTTGATTGGCAGCATTTTCAGGACACTTGCTCAGCAGGCATGAGACCCTGTGTTTGACTCTCCATACCACGAAAAAAAGACAAACCACAAGTGATAACATCTTCAATTTAGTGACATTGCAGTAGGAAAAAGCTGCGTTCAAATACGTGTCTTTTGGTCAGGCACGATGATGCACGTGTATCACAACAGCTACTTGGGACACAGGCGGGGTCACAAGTTGAGAGCCAACCTGGCCAATTTAGCAGACCTTGTCTCAAAATTAAAAATAAAAAACGGGGTAAGGATGTAGCTCATTGCCCCCTAAATTCAATCCCTCATACTGAAAAACAAAAAACACTTGTCTTCTCAACCTATGGAATGAGAAAAAATCTTTGCCAGGTATTCATATGACAGAGGATTAATATACAAAATATATAAAGAACTCCAAAACTGTAATACCAAAAGAACAGTAATCTAATCAGTAAATGGGCAAATGTTAGATACTTCTGAGTATTACAAATGGCCAATAAATGAATGAAAAATGTTCACCCTCTTTAGTAGTCGTCAGGGAAATACAAATCAAAACTACACTAAGATCCATCCCACCTCAGTCAGGATGGCTGTTACCAGGAAAACAAAACTGGCAAATGCTAATGTGAGTACAGAGAAAGGAGCTGTCATACCCAGTGCCAGTGTAAATTCGCGCACTTTGGAAAAACAGTATGGAAAACTGGAAATAGGACAAGCTGTACCTGTCCTGGGTGTAGCCGTAAAGAGTCAAAGTCAGCATACAAAAGATCCCTGGACATGCGCGTTCATCAGGGCACTGTTCAGAACAGCTGGGTTACAGGCGCAGCCTAGGTGCTGAGGACACAAATGGATACAGATCGTGGGGTGAAGATACACAGCGGAGTAGCATTCAGCCGTAAAGAGCAGTGCGTCGTGCACAGGAAGGTGGATGGAACCGCAGGTCACCACACTAAGTGGCATAAGCCAGTCTCGGATAGATACGGCGGGGGGGGGGGGGGGGGGGGGGGAACTCTAGACAAAAGAAAAGTTATCTGCCTTTGTTTTACTTACCTGAGACTTTGATAATGTGGAGCCTCTTGTGCTCTAGGAGCTACTCAAGCTTCTGCTTTGTGGTAATCAGCTGCTAGTAAGAACTATTTAGTTTTGTTTGTAAAACACCTGCTTGCTAAATCTGCCATTTTCCTGTGGTAAACTTGTCTCTCAGAAAATGTGACATCGTTACAGGCAAATCCCAGTGTTTCCCCTTTGGAGGAGGTCGAGCTGTCTCCCCTCCACTTGAGTTGCTAAGATAGAAGGTATGAAGGAGGTAAGGGTAGAACAAAGTTGTTTATCCTTACTGCACTGGAGGATGCAAATGGGAAAGCATGATGGGACTCAGAAAAAAAGATGAAACAGGGCTTACACTCAGATTAAAAGAACTAAAATGAGAAGGGCGGGGGTGGGGGCGCGCGGGGGGGGGGACGGCAGGAAGAAGGGGACCTGTTGGGAAAGGGGAACAGGATGGGGGCGAGGGAGTAAGTATTAGGGAGAGTGGATTCCATTGAAGCGCATTCTATGGAAATTCACCCAAAGTAATGAAATCCATTAATTTGTGCAATTAAGACATGCTAATTCTTATTTTTTAAATAAGGAGAAAAGAACCATCTCCCCTAAGACTCAGCCAGAAGCACCCTGAAACTGGTGCAGATAACTGCCCCTCTCCTGTCCCCCACTCTGCCCTTCTAGAATTTTGTTTACAAATAATTCAGACCTGAAAACGAGTATGGAACCAAGCACCCCAGCTACTGACAGGTCTTCTTACCCCTGCGCCACCCATGCCGTCCAGGCCTGCAGGTGGCCCACAAGGCCTAAAGTGTACCCGCAAAGTGCACCTCCCGCCATGTAAACTGGGGTGCTGTACCTAGGAGGCCTAGACTGAGCTCACAGCAGTGCCGCCTTGGAGAGGCTTTTAAAATGCTTATTCTCAGGTTTTGGATTTATTGAATCATATCTTTGGAGTCAGAGCTAATAAGTCATTGCTATACATAAAGTTCCTTAAAAGAATTCCTTGGGGTAGTTCTGTGGTCGGAAACGCACATCCAGCCCTGAGGGCGGTGCCATGTCTAGGGCTATGGTAGGCACGGAATGAAGTCGGGCGTGTAGGCTCTGGGCTGGGGACAGCACGGAGTGCTGAGCCCTGGAGCCTGTTCCCTCCATGGGCTCACCTTGCTTTGCTTCTTACAGCCATGTCAAAATCTGCAGTGAAGATTTCCCTGGACCTACTCTCCAATCCCCTCTGTGAGCAGGACCAGGACTTTTTGAACATGGTAACAGCCCTGGACACGGCTATGAAGCGGATGGACGCCTTCAACCAGGAAAAGGTGACTGGGTCTTGGTCTCCAGCAGCCTGGCACCCTCTCCTTCCCTCTGGGCCTCTGATGTGGTGCCTTGTGCTGGTCTTAATGGCCTGCACCCCTCTTCCCAGCCTGGGCTTCATGCTGCTCCTGATCCCCCTGTGAAGCCAGGTGTGTTTGCGAGGCTGCTCTGCCCATTGGCCCTCCACATTGTGGGGACAAGCAGGACCTGGCCCTGGGCCTCCCACAGCAGGGGTGGGCGTGCACCTTGCCTGCCCTGTCCCAGTCTTGGTCCCCGACAGATCTGTCCTCTGAGGAAGTCGGAGCCCCCTCCTAGGAAGAACTTTGCTCCCCGCAGTTGTGATGTCACTGGCTTTTTCTTCTTACAGGTGAACCAGATCCAGAAGACGGTGATTGAACCCTTGAAAAAGTAAGATCGCCTGAGACACAGGCCTCAGGGTACTGGTGGGAAAGGCACATCAGCCATGGGGAGCAGGAACCTATCTAGCAGCCTGTCCCCTGCTTCGCATGGGGCCTCTAGCCGTGCACTGTGTAGCTCAGGGTCAAGGCTCCTGGCAGCCCCAAAGCACTGCTACTGCCTAGCTACGTCCTGAGGCCACGCATCCCTGCAGAGTGCCAGACGCTGCACTGGTGGTCAGTGGTCACTTGGCCCTCTCGTCCATTCTTCATTGCTCGTGGTTGGGACCCTTGGGGCCAGGCTGGCTGAGTTCAGCTAGCAGATCCCTGGCCAGCCCTCAGCAGACATGATCAAGACCTTTCATCTCAGCTGGCCTGGGAGCACAGCTGCCTGCAGCGCTCGGCTCTGGAAGCATGGGGGTGGGAAGGGCGCAGCGGGGTCCTGACTGGGAGGGTCCCCTCACTCGTGACCCGTGAGCTCCAGGAATTCTTCTGTAAGACTCATCTTCCGACCGGCAGGCCCTGGTTAGCGATCAGACAGCCCTCTTCCCAAGGTCCCCTGGGGTGAGGAGGCCGAAGCCTTGAAGCTCCCGAATCCTTCCCCTCCAGCCTCTCCCCTGGCGCTGACCTCCAGAGGCTCCCGCTGCAGCCCGGCAGCTGCACTTTATTACCTCTTCTGCGGTGGTCCCTGGCTGTTGCCTTGCCAGGTCCCGGGTAATGAGGCTCTGCTTAACTGTAGTTAGGTCCAGATCAGGGCCAGGAGGTGGAGAGAGCAGTTTTTGATCCTCCAGCCCCTGGTGTTGGGGGATGTTGAGCTTCCAAGAGCTGTGATCTGAGGGGGAAAAGCCCTCCTGACCTCCAAAGCACTTCTTCCCAAGCCGGGACCACAGTGTGAAGCCAAGAGGCTGAGTCTGGCACAGGCAGGGATTTCTCCTGCCTCTGCCCTCCCGCCCCAGCCTCCTCCCCAGAGTGGGCTCCCCAAGCCCCAGACACAGCCCAGCCCCATGCCACAGGGTCGCTCGGTATAGAATGAACTTGCTGGTGGCTTTCAAGCCTGGACTCTGGGTTCAGAGCAGGGTGGAAAGAGCACCTTGTGTGCCAAGGCCTCAGGTCACCAAGGTAGCCATGGGCACCCGAGGCTGGCAGAGCAAGGCAGGGACACCAGCTCAGAGAACGGGGAGTTGGCTGCTGTCTCGATTTCACAACCAACGAGGCGGCCTTGAAATCAGATCCCTGGCTTCTGTAGCCACATGGAGAGAAACCCCGGCTGCTTCCCACCAGCTCGCAGCCCACCACCTGCCAGGAAGGTGGGGGCGTGGCAGAGGGGGCGGCTGCCATCTCCGCAGCGGATCTGCTGACCCCTGCATGAGCCCTTGACCACCCTGGCTGGCTCTTGCTGTATCCCCCAGCCGACATGCGATCTGCCCAGACCACATAAACCGCCACTGTCTGCCACCTCGTGCCAGAAGAAATGCTCCCAGGGACCCTAGCACCGGAAACAGGAAACTGCAGCTTTCCTGTCCTCTGATGAAGATCATGGCCACATGGTCACCTTGCCACCCCCAGTCTCCCCGCCACCAGGGGCTCGGCCTGTAATCCCCCAGCCCCTGGGTCTATTCACATGTTGGATGGGGATGCTTTCAATTTCCCTTTCCTGGTGGGTGGAAGATCCCGGCTGTGTGGGCTCAGATGAGGAATGGCAGGCATTCCCCACCAGGCCGGCTGCTCCCAGCCCACCTCCCAGCCGGCCTCATTCCCTCCCTGCTCCCCTTCACCCCACGCTTCACCTCCCCAGGGAAGCCAGCTTGGTGCCGAAACTGAGTGAAGCAAGAAACAGCCTCTGGTGAGGGCCTAGGGTGGGGCCTGGCCATCCTCTCCTTTGGGAACCAGTGTGAATCAGACCTTAGGAGCTTCTAGCCTGGAGGAGCCATAGTGGGCCCCGAGGGCAGCAGGGTTGCAGTGCCGGGAACAAGGAGGACATTGCGGCCATCCTGCCTGCCCATTGGGCTGTGGAGTGGAAACTCTGCTCAGGAGCAGAGCAGCAGCTCTGGGTAGGCCAAGGAGGCAGCAAGGGGTAACTTGAGAGAGTAGAGACCTGGCTGAGGGACTTCTGCCTCCCATCTCTCGCCACTGATTGTGGAGAGGCGACAGGGACCAAGCTTCTTTGGAGCAGATCAGTGAAGGTGCAGGCGTCATGGCTGGAGGACAGCCTCTCCCAAGGAGGCCAGGGGATACCTCTAGGAGGTCCCAGGGCCACATCTTAGAGGGGCCCTGGCCCATGGGACAAGCCTCTACATGTCTGCGCCTGGCCCCTGCAGCTGGAGGGAGCCACCTCTGCTGGGGGTGGGGTCCTGCTGTGAGACCCCACCCTTATGCACCACCGTCCCCACTGCCCGCCACATGGGCTGGCAAGACCTGACCTCGACTGCAAGAAGAGAATGGGAAGGTGGGGTTCTGTGGAGCTGAGGCCAGGAGCAGCCCTAGCGTCCTGGTCCCCTTAGGGTAGGCTGCACCTGTCCCCTGACTCACAGCGGCTTCCCTTTGGGTATAGACAGGTGTGACACCCAACCCTCTCTGCTCTGGAGAAGCCCAGCCCCAGGCCCACTGACGCTGCTATGGGTGACAGAGTCTCCCACGTGAGGATCAGGGGCCACTGCAGCCACTTCCCCCGAGGAGTACGGGTGACCTTGGTTCCAGAGGCTCTGCTGTTAGGTCGTCCTGTAGGCACAGCCTGAGGCCCCTGTCCCCTCACCATCCTTGATCCAAACTGTCCCCGGACTCGAGTAAGGCTGGCTGGGCCCCTCCGCATAGTGCTCCTGCTGGAGCCGAGTGCAGGTGGAGATGGCACTGTGGCGAGGGACCCATACCACCGAAGTCAGCCTGGCCTCCAGCGTGATACTCAGCCCGCCCTGCATGTGGACTGCGCCCCACGCACACTGCCTCATTCCCGTGAGGGCCCTGTCCCAGGAGGTGAGCCCAAATGGTGGCACTGTGGCCAGTGCAAGAAAACACCACCCTCTGCCTCCCCTTGACTCACTCATTTCCCTGTCCCTCTTCCTGCAGCCACCCAGGCCTCAGGCACCGGGGCCACCCAAGCAGGAGGTTGCCTTTGACAAGAGGATTGGACAGCTGCTGGACACCTCTTGTCCCTTCAGGGTGGAGGGAAGGGCAACATGGTGTCTTCTCAGGCCCAAGTGCACCTGCTGCCTTGAGCCAGATGCTGCCCAGCTGCCCAGGAAGGGAAAGCAGCTACCCTGGCAGCTGAAACCACAGTGGCAGCTGCTGGGCTTCACCCCTGCAGACCTGCTGCTGGGACAGCATACATGGTGCTGTCACTGCCTGGGCCACCCCAGTCCGCATGGCGCTGAGTGGCCGCAATCTACCCGGCAAGTCAACGCAGTGTCGATGTGATCGCTGTGCAGACAGCCAAGGGTCAGAAGCTCTGGCTGTCTCTTCCTACCTTAGCATTTTCAGTAGGTGAGGAGCCTGTGTGGACACCAGCAGTGGCCTTTGAGGATAAGCCCTGTTCCACCCTAACCTGCTCCCTTAGTCTGACAGTCTAGGGCGTTTAATGATAGGCCAAGTTTATTTTCTATTCTCTGGCAAATGTGCTCACCACGCCACTTAGCTCATGTGTTCTTTTGATTTGTTGAGACTTTTTTTGTTTTTGTTTTGGAAACGAGCTCTCTCTTTGACCTCTCTTTGAACTCACTACGTAGTCCAGGCTGACCTTAAAGTCACTGATCCTCCTGCCTCAGCCACCCAAGTGCACCACCATGCCTGGCTTGTTGGAGCTTCTACATACCAAATCCACATGCATGGTCCCTGCAAGGCAGCCTTGGGAAATCATGCTTCCTAGAGTGTTCCATCTACTGGAAGCTGACCCCAGTCCCCCAGGTGCTCTCTGTGCCTCAGGGCATGTGAAAGCTCACCTTGGCCACCGGCTGGGGACCCAAGAAGAGGAGTGCTGCCCTGGACTTGTCCCTGCTCTAGTCTTTTGTCTTGTCTGGCTTCCTCCCGTGGTGGTCATGGGTCACCAGCTCTGCCTCTCTACTCTGAGTGACCAGGGACATCAGGTCCCCGTGTCACATGCCAAGTGTCCACAGACTCTCGGGCCCCCAGATGGCGCAGTAGATGCCTGGCATGGAGGGCCAGACCCGCCTGCAGCAGTGGACCATCACACTGCAGGAAGCCCTTCCATGATGTCCTTCTAAAAAGCCTGCCTGCTGCGGCATTGCATTGTCTCATCCCACCCTCCTGCCATCAGGGAGCGCAGCCCCGCCGTGACTTCCCATCTCCAGATCCCTGGCCCCTCGTAGTAAAGGCAGCATTTGTCAGGGTGGCTGCGCCCAGGGACCCCATGCTGATGCTCTTTCTGATTGGCCCACTCCTCTGACCAGTCCCTGTTGCAGTCCTATTTAGTCATGGGGTTAGGAAGAGGCCCTGTGTCATCTCAAAACTTCTGCTTCATCCCCTTGCTGTTTGGTGGTGGTGATAGAACTGTGGCATTGCCGCTCTTCCCACAGTGTAAAGGAATCTTTGCCCTTGGACAGAAGTGGCTTCCAGTTTTGAATCTGCCAGTGGCACTGAGAGGTAGCAGCAAGGGTGCCAGGCAGAAAACTTGGATGCCGAGTTCTCTTCCGGGCTGCTTCTGCCTCACTGTGACCTTTGGCGAGTCACATGTCATCTCCCTGTCCTGGTGCTCTCCTGGAGTGTGGAGTGGTGCCCTGCCCTGTCTGCTTTCCCTTGACCTTTCCATTCAGTGTCGTCTGTCAGCATGAGCTTTATTCACCAGGGCCTCATCTGCCTGGCCCCAGTGAGCCCGAGGTCTGGCACTTAATAGGTTTACTACGGATACTTTTGAAGGAGTAATGGGTTCACATCCAACCAGGCTGTGCACTGCAGGTTTGGCAATGTCTTCCCGAGCCTCAATATGGCAGTGAAGAGGCGGGAGCAGGCCCTGCAGGACTACCGGCGACTGCAGGCCAAGGTGGAGAAGTATGAGGAGAAGGAGAAGACGGGACCTGTGCTGGCCAAGCTCCACCAGGTGCTGGGGGCCGGGAGCCGGCAGGTGGTCAGGAAGGAGGGATGGGGTGGACGGGGCCATTGTGGCAAGTCCCACCCTTCCCCGGGGACCAGCAGGACCCAAGACCGGTTGTCTCCCACTCCTACACCTATGTCCTGACACCAGGGTCCCATCCTTAGGCCCGAGAAGAGCTGCGACCTGTGCAGGAAGACTTCGAGGCCAAGAACAAGCAGCTCCTGGACGAGATGCCGAGGTTCTACGGCAGCCGCCTTGACTACTTCCAGCCCAGCTTTGAGTCCCTGATCCGGGCGCAGGTGAGACCACCAGTCAGGCCCTGGCCTGGGGAACTGTGGGGAAAGTCAGTGCTGAGATCCTGGCTGGGGCCACAGGACTGGAATTTCTGTCTGGCTTCCTCTTGCTTTTGGGTTAATCCCAGCCCCAGCATGGTTGAGGCTCCTTTTTATAGCCATTGTTCCCTTGAGTTCTTCCTTGAATTTACTGTAACAGCAAGAAGAAAGCAAGTGACAGCTGCCACTTCGGCTGAGCAGGTTCTTTGCCCCAGTGCTACCTCCCATTAGTCCTCCTTCAGCAGGAGGCTGCGAGGATCTTGACTGCAGGCTTTTCACAGAGGGGTCCCTGAGCCCTAGGAGAGCCCTGCTCAGCTGCTGCCAGGGGCGCTCAGCATGCCAGGCCCCAGTGAAGGAGAGGCAGGGTGCAGAGGTAGGGGGCGCTGCCCAGCTACACATTGGGCCAGGAAGCCGGAGGAGGGCACAGGCCAGAATCCAGGTCTCCTCTCCTGGGGTGTCAGACTGGGTGGTCCGTAGCTCTTACCCACCCTCCCCCTTGGTGCCAGGCCTTTCCCGGGATGAGATAGAAAGGTCAGGTGCCAGAGCCAGGATTAGGGCTCCTCCACATGGGCCCCGCTGAACACAGATACCTTTGGACCGAGCACCCTGTCCACCTTTGGCCCCAGTCACCAAGCTGGAGGCTTCCATTCCCCACCACAGCTTGCCCTCGTGTTCTTGTCTGGGTGTCTGGCGCCCTCCAGTGGGCATCGTCATTCCTTGCTTATCCCGTGGTCACCTGAGCCACACTCCCAGCCTGAAGCTTTGGAGGGCACCCTGAGCCCTAGGGCAGGGGCTTGGCATCAGGATGCCTGAGCGGGACTTATGCCAGAACTGGGACTTGCTAAGTCACTCAAGTGGTCAGTCCCATGCTGTCGCTAGGGGGCAGCAAGTCAGAGCCACCTGCAGGAGGGAGAGGGGTTCTTTCCTCACTTGTCCTGAGATGGGGGTGTCCTTCTAGCAGCCACACCCTCTGCATTACAGGAGGGGCTCCACATGGAGACCCCTGTCTTCCCTCTGCATCACTGCCCCCACTGCAGCCCCCAGGAAGCTGCTGGGGACCAGACTGGAGCCTTCAGGAGGCTGGGGGCACCCCGTAACCAAGCAGCAGGGTTGCCAGGCCTGTTTACTGCCTCCCTTACACCTGCCTCCTTACCTGGCTGCCACTACCATTAGTCACTGGATAAGTGAGCATTCCTGGTGACTCAGGAGCAATGAGGCCTAGGCAAGGAATTGGGGGCCACCCCCACCTCTCCCCTCAGCGTGCATCCAGGCCCCTGGCTCCTGAAGTGACAGAGGACACCTGGGACTGTCCTGACTTAGCTGCTCTTGGCCCACTGGCACTAGCTGTGTCTGGAGGCTTCCGAGGACAGTCAGGCTGGCCCCGCTCAGGCTGCCTTCAAGGGAACTGCCTCCACATGGGTGAGAAGAAATGAGTCCCTCTCCTGGCAACTGCTCGGAGCCAAGGAGACTTGACAAGAGCAGATGTTTCCATTAGCCAACAGGTGGACACAGAGGCAGAAATGGCCCCACCCCCTCGAGCTGCTGAGTCTCCCCAGCTCCTGCACCCTGACCCGGATTCACATCCCTGTGGCCCATGGACCCCATGCTTGGCCAGCCTGGAAGGGCTGTAAAGTGAGCTGGGCCTCAGAGCTGCTCCCTTGGCTACAAAACTTAGGCTGGGGACAGCATGGGCTGGGATGGGAAAGGAGTGGGGCACTGGAAAGGTATCACCTCTCCCCTTCTCTTCAGAACTGGCTCTCAAGGCTCTGGCAGTCACTAACTGCCATGTCTCTCCTGGGGACAAAAATCCCTGGGCTTCCCATGTGGCTTACAAGACACAGTGAAGCCCAAGGCACGCTGCCTATCACTTAGCCAGGCCCTTGGGCCTGGGCTTGGCCACGTGTCCTGTCACCACCCTGCCCACATAGTGCCCCTGCCCACCACGGCTGCCAGAGAACCGGCACCTCAACCCCCAGCCTTTTCCCAAGCCTTTGCCAGCCTGCTGCCCCTCTTCTTGACCTGAGCCTTTCTGTGCAGTGCAGTAGACACCCAGCTCTTGGCCCCAGGCAGCTCAGTGAGGGTGAGGACAGGCAGCAATGGGACACACCCCTCACATAGTCAGCACTGCTCAAGGGCCTGGGGGTGCTGGGCGTCCCCAGGACTGGCCTTTGCCAATAGTACCTACCTCCCACCAGGTGGTGTACTACTCAGAAATGCACAAGATCTTCGGAGACCTGACCCAGCAGCTTGACCAGCCCGGCCACTCAGATGAGCAGCGAGAGCGGGAGAACGAGGCCAAGCTGAGCGAGCTCCGAGCCCTCTCCATCGTGGCCGATGACTGAGCTCACCCCCCTCAGACTCCTGGTGCTGGCAGGTTGGGTCCTGTGGTGGCCCCTTCACCTGAGTGCCTTCGTTGCCCAGAGCCTGACACTAGAAGCTCCCAGCAGGCTGCCTCTCCCTGCTCGTGGCCCCAGAGGTAGGTAAGCAGTGTAGAAAAACCCTGGGGACCTTTTCACTTCCAGAGCCGTCCAGGGCAGAGCAAGCTTCATCCATTGGAGGCCTGTGTCCTTCGGCAGCGCAGCTGAAGTAAGCTCTGCCTGCAGACAGAGACTGCATCTACCTCCAGAGGGCCCGTCCTGGGGATCCAACCCTCTTGCCGCTCTTCACCCCAAAGCATGGTTTGCTGCCCTGGGGAATGGGGAGGTCATGCAGTCCCCTCGCTGGAGCATGACAAAGGCTGCTCGGGTGCAGGGACAAGCCCCGGGTCGTCTTCAGGGAGCTGGGACTACCCTTCCACACAGAATGTCATGTGTCATTGCACAGGTCTGAGCCAGCACAGAGGGTTTGTTGCACCTGGATACGTATTTGGAATTTTATTTTTTCAAGTAGAATTTCCAATAAAACATCACATAGTGTTGTGCTGTAACTTCCAGAGGAGGGAATGCTGTCACAGCTTCTCCAGGGCCTGTGCCAGGCTTCCTATGCCCTGCCCACCTTCCAGAGGGCTGGGTGGTGCCAGTAAGGTCACAGGGACGAAGCCAGCATGGGACAGCACTAGGCAACCCAGAAAAGAAACAGGAAGAGCTACGCACTTGGTTTGTTTTTGACTTTGGTTTATTTAAAAAACAAAAAGCCAAAAAAAAAAAAAAAAAAAAAAACCAACTTTATATACAAAGTCAAACTGAAACCATGGATTATTGAAAGAGGCTAGAATTATGGGTAACAGGGAAAAGGCTGGGCCAGAGCCAATACCACATTCTGAACACAGGGCCGGGGAGGGTGCTGGTTCCTTCTGGTGAGTCTAGGGTGGCTGGGACACAGTGTTCTCCTGACAACCACAGCCCAGCACAAGGACCTCCTTCTAGCACGGGCTCCTTTCCCACAACGGCCACAGAGCCCCCAGGAGCTGCACCTGGACCTACAGGGTCTGTGCCGTCCAGAGAAAAGGGGTGTCTTGGCCCCCACCAGACTCCATGTCTGTCCCTTCAGTTTATTGGCATCAGACCTCGACATGGGCTTGAAAAGCCTTTTCCTCCCGTCATACTCTAAACTGGAAGAGGACAGGAGACAGCACAAGACTACAAGGGCCCCGGGAGAAATTCCAAGGTTGAGGGCAAAATGACATTCTAGGGGTGCAAAGATGTTGTATTTAGTTGTAGCTGGAACTGGGGTTCTTCACACATCCATTCACATAGCACAGACCCCTCCCTGATGGCTCGGCGTCCCCTGCAGAGGCTGTGCACAGGGCTCAGCCACCCCTGCCTGTGGCTCCCAGGCCCTGCTCCAGCTGCTTTCTGGTACCAAAAGGGCTCTGATATCTCCGGGCTCCATCGCTGACCTCAGCACGGTGTCCAGCGAGGCCCCTCAGTTGCTAGGCGCTGGCTCCTCCTTGTCTACCCAGCTATCCGCCTGTGTGAGTAGACAGGACTGGGTTACAGGGGAGGCCATCAGAGGACGCAGGAGCCTTTTAGGGAAACTGCCAGCTTCCCTAAAAACCAGTGGCTGAGGACAAAGAACCAGGCAGGGGAGGAAAGGGGCTCACTGGCTGTCACCTCAACGCCACTCTGCAGTGGCAATGAGGGCTCCCCAAGAGGGGCTGTGTTCCCCTTGTCCCATCGCCCCTCACCTTCTCCACCATGCGCTGCACCTCGAGCTGCAGTGGGCCCAGGCGCCTGCGGAACTCCTGCAGCAGACGCTGCAGCTGGCCCTTGTGCCGCTCGGCCACCCGAGCTGCATCCTCAGCCTCTGTCAGCCGCACCCGCAGCTCCTGCATCTCTGCGGCCAGGGTCTTGTTGGTCACTTCGGTGGCTGAGAAACGGTTATGGCTCTCCTCTGGGGGGAGACACACATCAGAAAGCTCAGTCAAGGACGGTCCCAGACAAGGCCCGGGCAGATCTGCGCTGCACTCTGTTCCATGGTGATGCACGCCGCAGCCTGGGGCCACTCACCTAGCTTCAGTTCCAGTGTGTGAATCTTGTTTTCCAGGTAGAGCCGCCCACTGTCCTGCTGCTCCGCACGCTGCAGCAGGCTCCCCACATTGATCAGGCTGCCATTGTGGGGCACCAGGCCCTTGTGCTCCGTGGGAGCAGCTCCTGGCTTTGCACTCTTCCCAGAAGGAGGCAGCAGGTCCAGATTTCCTAGAAGCACTGTGGAAAGTCAGGAGGAGTATCTAGGAGAAAGCAGCCTGCCCCGCCGCATCCTGACAGGCCCTGGAGCACAGACATACCAAAGAGCACCTCCTCCGGAAGCCCACCGTCCACCGTCTCTGGGCGGCTGTATTGCAAGCTCCGATACTGGCAAATATTCTGCGTCACCACCCTGCTGACCAGCTGCTTGGCCTACAGAAAACAGCCGCCACCTGCTGGTCAGGAGGGGCAAAGCCTGGCTGGGGAGGAGCAGGCCTCTCAGAAGGAAGACAGACAAGAGGGGAGCTACCTGCTCTGCACTGAGCCGAATGCCCAGTGTGAGGAGGACCCGCTCCAAGTCCCGCCGGTGCAAGTAGCCACACCAGTTGGCATCGAAGAACACAAAAGCCAGAAGACAGTCCAAGGGGAGCACAGCAGAGGGATCCAGCTCCTTGGGCTGTGAAGGAAACGTGAACAGCTTTACAGATGGCACTCAGTGGCTACATGGTACAGGACATGGCCCCTTTAGAGCAAGTAGCTCAAGCAGCTGCATCCAGACCTTGGACTACAGGCCTCTGGGAGCCTGCCTGACCCATTGCTTGATCCACCCCCTAGAGAATGAAATGTTTTCTGTAAGCCAAGAACCGCCTCTGTCTCTTGCCCATCGATGGAAGAAGTCTCTGGTAGGCATCCTGCCACCAGGCGGGAGTCAGAGGCCTTGCCAAGCCTACCACCGCAGGGCAAGCGGAGACATCTCACCATGTCCTGGAGGGAGGAGAATTCCATCTCCGACTGGTTTGAGGCAACAGACCGGACCTCCGAGTCCTCCAGCTTTGCTCCTGCTATAGAAAGTCTGAGCTAAATGGGCAGCAGGGCCCACAGGGCCCATGTTTGCTCTGCAGCCCCCACCCCGGACGTACCAAACTCCTCCTCCCCATCGTCCCTCAGAAGCAGCAGCTCCGGGTCCAGGGCCATCTCACACAGCTCCTCTGACACCTCGCCCCGGGGCTTCTCCTCTTCCTCCCCACCAGAAGAGGGAGGTTTGGGCAAAAGCCCATCCTCTTTCTGAGGAAGCAGACCAAGGTGATGAAGGCAAGGAATGCAGTTCCCAGCATACGAACAATAATGGCTAACACTTGAGTTCCAGCTGTGTGCCAGGCACTGGGGCAGGGTTTGGTGGGTTTATTTAAGCACGTGAGAGTTAGCGCACACCAAGGACACAGAGATTATCTGGCCAGTCCTTGGGAGGCAATCTCAGGCCCAGAAGAAACTGTCTCCTTGAAACTGTCTGGGCGAGGAGTAGATTCATGCTTTTAGAAATGGCTAAACAGTGAACTGCCAGGCAGTCCAAACACTTCCCCTCTCCCCACCACTCTTACTAACAGGGTTGGCTTGGAGGCCACGCCATCCGTGTACCACCTCCCTTGCCCCAGGTGTGCCATTTCCAAGATATGTGGCCACAAGCAGGAGATTCACCTCCCAGGCTTCAGTCCACCCCAGGCCTGGGAGAAGCAGGCAGTATGAGTGAGAGGGAGCGGAAGACAGGATGTGGAATGTGTGTGGGACAGACAGCGCCTGGCACCAGCAGGGACTCCGAGGGTGTTAGGCACTATTACGCAGTCCTCAGGCCAGCCCAGGCTGCCAGGTACTCACCAGCGGGGCGTCTGACTCAGCAGCTGTGCCCTCATTCTGTACCTCATCCTTGGACTCCTTGGCCACCTCTTCTTTGATGGCTTCCTCCTCTTTAGCAGCTTCCTCCTTAGCCACCTCCTCCTTCTCAGGTTCAGGGGGCGACAAGACCTTTTCGGGAAGGCTCAGCAGCATCTTATAAATCCTATAGCCAAAATCCCTCTGGAGCATCTCCAGAAACAGCTCAGCCAACACCATCACCTGTTGGAAGAGGCAGCAAGGGCCTATGAGCGTCAGAGAAAAGGAAGTAGGCTGCATTCCACTTCCTATCCACAGCCCCACTTCCTCCTCCACCTGCCTCAAAAGAGATCCTTTCTTTTGGCCTCCGATCTTCCACAATAGCATGGAGGGACAGGTTGACACAGCCAGGACGTGCCATGACAGCAGGCTCTAGAGGGGGTGGAGGGGCCTCTGGTAGCTCAGTGTCCATTTCCTGCTGTGTGGTGGCCTCAGGCGTCTCGGCATTCTGTTTAGAAGCATCTGCTGCTTGCTCCGACGGTGCATCAGGGGCCTGTTCAGTAGGTTCTGCTTCCTGTGACAATCGAGACGTAAACCTCCAGTGCTGGTCAGGGTACCCACTTTCCCTGTGTCCTCCTAAGGCTCAGCTTACCCCTGGTGCCTCCTGGGGTGGGGGAGCCGCCTCTGCAGCCTTCTGCTGGCACAGAGCATCCCACTCCTCCAAGGTGGGCATGATGGTCCAAATGTCTGGAAGGTGTACCACCACCGTGTGCAGCCGCCGGGGTGGGCCCGGCTGCAGGTACTGAAACTCAGCAAAGCGCCACCTGTTCACAGCAAAGAGCAAAAGGAAGCTGTCAGCTGTGACTCCTGCGTGCAGACAGCACACTTGGAGATAAGCACGTCCATTTCCAGTCGGCACTGAATGAGCACATAACTGCACGCCAAGTGTGAAAGGTGCAGAGGTACAGAAAATCCTCTAGAAAATGGCAGGCAACAGGAGGCACAGAAGCCGACAGCTCACTTACACAGGGCTAAGGCAACCTCACTCCACACCCCAAGCCTAACCAGGCTCAGGACCCAGCAATCTGAACAGCTGGGGCCTGGAGCAGGCACAAGCTGAGTGGGCACAGGAGAGCTGGCAGGCCAGAGGGCAGCAGCCAGGCCTGAACAGACGTGGCCGTAGTGAGCTGGCCACACACAGGAAGCCACTCACCACTTGGTGCAGGTGCTCAAGTCAATGCCGGTCTGGGCTTGGGCACAGCGGATGGCCGTGCGCACCAGCACCTGTGGGTCGGCCTGGGGGTCGAGACCATCCAGGGAAGAAGACCACTCCCCCCCAACCAGCACTGCCTCATCTTCTTTCCGGCCCAGCAAAAACTGCAAAGAGATTGAGGATGAAAGAAACCCGAGTTGCCTGAGGTCCCTATAGTGAGATGGGGCTACAACCCATCAAGACCTAAGGTAGCAGGAAGCAGTAAAGACCACCACCAAATGCCCCCTACTTATCAACACGAACCAGCCCCCTAACTCCTATGAGGAGGAGCCAGCTCTGAGGGAAATGCAGGTGTTCCATACACTTGTGAGTAGGAGCCGGACTACAGAAGACATGACAGGCACCAGACACCCAGCCTCCTGCATTCTACTCACCTTCAGCTGCTTCAGAGGATGCTCTGGTGTCTCCCTGGGCTCAGCCATGTCATCAACAAAGAGCATGCAGCAGCGATACAGTTCCTCCAGGCCAGGGGAGGAGAGCAGCAGGACCTGCATGGAGACAGCAAGATGTTCTGAGCCACCACCCACCCCCAGCTC